GGATCCCAATAATAATTTTTTTTTTAAATTGTATTTCCAGTTTGTAGATGTAGAAAAATCAACTGCAATACATGTATCGATGGCTTCGCCGCGTTTGTTTTGCATGTACAAACCCAGAATTTCAAGAAATTTAAATCTCGATGCCTCTATAATCTATTTTATACATTAATTTTCATGTATGATTAAGAATAATATTATTTGGCAACAATAATGTTAGAGTATCAATCTAGTTGGCTACATTCAATTAAATGAATCACGTGATTTTGCATTTAAATGAATCTATTATTTAATACATGTAACCACCTAGGTTGGTGCTTAACAACAATGGTTGAGTAACATTACTCGTTTGTTGATATGAAAAATGAACATTGATTTTTAATTGTCGAAGGACAATATGTCACACTGAAATTGAGACAATCTAAAGTCTTACACGATGCAGCATTAGCGTGGAGTAGGGTTGGATGTGGTTTGATTCGATTCGATTCTATGGAGAATCGAACCGAATCCGAATTTTTGGATATTTAGTAAGTGGAACAATCAGGTCCAAATTTAATTATGGAACCGTTCGGATTCGATTCCATTCGGTTCAGTTTGGTTCCTTCTGATTTCTGAATTCCGTACAATAATTAATTTTTTTAATATTTACAATAACGCTATATTAATTCAACTAATGACATATTCAATCTTAGTTCTTACCAAATAACGTTGTCCAATCTCATGATATCTTTTTTGTCTTTCTTTATTGAGTTAATTGTTAAAATTACATGAAGAAGAAGATAGCTAGCTCCTAATAATGAAGAGAAGCGCAGCCAAACTTTCAATTCGATTTCTCTAGAATGATAGAAACGACACTACGGTAGAATAATAGATTTCAGTAAAACCTAGGTCAGTTTGATTAGGTTTAGTTTGGGCTGAAAATTAGAAATGAGAAAATCACATTTTGGGTTTGGGCTAAATTAATTAGTTAGCAAGTTTATGTATATATATGAAGATTGGTTCTTAGTCTAGAATCAAGAATCGTACTGAATCTTTCGGTTCTCAATTCAGATATTCATTTGGGTATTTAACTTAAAAGATCTCCTCGATTTGAGTCGGATCCAATTTGGTCCAGTTCGATCCAGAAGTTTTGTCCAACCCTAGTGTGAAGAACACCACTTTACTTATCCATTGTGAAAGCTTTTCTGTAATATGTACTATCTGGAAATTGTATTCATCAACAACATTCGTCGATTATAATTTTATTGGCATCTAATAATCACACTCATCAATTTACATTTCGATCGCATACACTAAAATGGTTTAACATGTATAGTAAGCATCGTACCGCATAATTTGCCAATCTATTGTCATGTTACTCTAACTTGCGACGGAGGCATCACTAATACACATTTCTTACTAGTCGTCTTTACATCCCTAACATGGTGTAGACAACACTAGTTTGTTTCGGAAAAATCATTGAAAAGATATATTTTAAAAGTGATATTACTAAAGTCATTCATAAGACGTGATATGTTAAATTCCAACATGACTTCATTAACTTTTCATTTATGTGTAGTACGGACTTTTGGTCCGACTCATTTTTTTTTTTTTTTACACGCATAATGCTGGAAATTTCTTTCTATTTTATTTTTCTATTGCAAGATGTATGTGGCAGGGTACGTCCATATATGGTGATTCATACATAAGTTGTTTTAGCACGTATTATAAATGAAAGTTGAATTCGGTGTATTCTTTCCGATCTATAGTTTATAGTTCGAGGCCATACATCTTAATGAGTATGCGTTTGATTCGTTATCTTCAGAA